GGGCCCGGGGGATCCTGCGGGAGAACAGCCCCGGTGCGGGCCGGGGGGAGCGGGCTGAGGTGCCCCCGACCCCCCCCCAGCCCCGCAGCCGCCCCCGCAGCCTCTGCCCGCGCCCCGCACCCCTTCCCGGCGCTGGCACCGGGGCTCGCGGGAGGGTTGGAAGGCACCTCTGGGGATCGCCGTGCCGGGTCGAGTCATTTCCAGCAGCTCTGACCGCAGCGGGTTTGTTTTCCAGCTTCCCGACGGGGTGAACATCTCCAAGGAGGCCCGCAGCGCGATATCCCGGGCAGCCAGTGTCTTTGTGCTTTATGCGACCTCCTGGTAAGAGCCGGGACAGCACCGCAGCTGCCGGGGGTTTCACCTCCCTGCTGCCTGTCCTGGGGAGTAGATTTTTTCCCCACTGTTTCTGTACTGTCTGTTTATATCACTGAAATAAGGCTCAGTGTAGCCCGGGTGCAGGGTGGGGTGTGGGTGGCCCTTTGGGGGGGCAGCCTGGCTCTGTACAGGGACCCCCAGCCCCAGCAGGGACAGGAGGGGCCCAGGTTGAGCCTTCAGAGGTGGCTGCAGGGCTTCTCCTGCCCAAGGCAGGAGCCCTTTGCTGCTCCCCGTGTGGCTGTGTTAGGGGCAGCGTGAGCCTCAGGCTGGGGCAGGGGGACACGGGAAGGTGTTTGGGATGGCTCAGAACCAGCCCTGCAGGCAGCTCTGCTGGCAGCTGCTCACACAGCCCTGTGGGATTGTCACCTTACAGCAAGTGTTCAGACTTCCTCCCTGGCTCTCCGTGCCAGCAGAAAACGAGTGTGGCAAAGCAGTGCAACTAGGTGAAAGCACAACAGCCAATGTAAACAAGAGGGTATCTGAAGGTACTTACAGTAAGGAATTAACAAACCCCTGACTGTTTAGGAGGTGGCTTGGGGTTTTTTCTAAGTGTCTTCTGAATGTAATAAACCAGACTGAACTGATGATGGTACCAACTAACTCTGTTTTCCTTCTTGTGTTCAACTAGTGCAAATAACTTTGCCATGAAGGGGAAGAGGAAAACCCTGAATGCTGGTGACGTCCTCTCTGCCATGGAGGAAATGGAGTTCCAGAGATTCGTAGCCCCTCTGAAGGAATCCCTGGAAGGTACCATCCTGGGGTCGTGTTCAGGGGGTCTAAGCAGCACCAAGTCCTGTTTTCCCCAAAGGCTGGACAAGCAACACTTAGTGGCCTGTCTTGTTTCTCTCCTCTTTGGTAAGGAATTAACAAACCCCTGACTGTTTAGGAGGTGGCTTGGGGTTTTTTCTAAGTGTCTTCTGAATGTAATAAACCAGACTGAACTGATGATGGTACCAACTAACTCTGTTTTCCTTCTTGTGTTCAACTAGTGCAAATAACTTTGCCATGAAGGGGAAGAGGAAAACCCTGAATGCTGGTGACGTCCTCTCTGCCATGGAGGAAATGGAGTTCCAGAGATTCGTAGCCCCTCTGAAGGAATCCCTGGAAGGTACCATCCTGGGGTCGTGTTCAGGGGGTCTAAGCAGCACCAAGTCCTGTTTTCCCCAAAGGCTGGACAAGCAACACTTAGTGGCCTGTCTTGTTTCTCTCCTCTTTGCCCAGCATCCCAGTTTGCCTGGGGAGTAGATAATGTGCACCTTAACAGGACTGGGATAACATTATTTCACGACTGATGAGGACTGACAAAGTCTCATCTCCCCTCATGTTTATCTAAGGGAAGCCTTAGGTGCTGCCTGTCAATGTGAACTCCTGAGTCCTTTTAGCATTTTTCTGCTGAAACTTAACCAGATTTCCTAAGGAGCTGGTCAGCACAGCTCAGACTCTGGGGTGAGTTGCTGCTATGAGTTCAGTGCTCCCCGTGCGAGCCTGGAGAGCCAGTGGATGTTGGACTTCAGCTCTTGTACTGCTCATCCCATGGGAACGCTGGCCTGGCAGTTTCTCAGTGTTCCCTCTTTCTTATTCAGTTTACAGGCGTGAACAGAAAGGGAAGAAAGAAGCAAGGAAAGACAAAGACAAGAAGGCAGACTCAGAGGAGCAGGATAAGAGCCGGGAGGAAGAGAATGATGACGATGATGAAAGGATGGAGGAAGAAGAGCAAAATGATGAGGAGGAGGTGGACAACTGAGCTGGCTGACAAGATGTGTGCAGGGGTTGGGCTTTGTTCAGAGGGATGTGAACGCTGTAAATCAGCCTTGCTGTTCCCCTCTTGCTTCCAGTAGAGCTTTGTACTGATCCTCTGCAGCCCGTCCCTTTTTGGCTTTAATTTGTACATAAAGGACTTCTGCTAAAGCTTTTTTCCTGGAAGAACCACTCCTCCCTGTGCCCATGCTGGTCTGGCTCTGGAAGAGGAAAAAAGAGATACTGGATGCTCGATACAGAAGCTGGCCAGGAGAGCTTGAGAGGCTGTTGAATGAGCTCCTTAAACCAAGTCACGGGTTGAACCAAACAGATCATTAACCCTTTGGAGTTTGGAATCTGTATGATGATGTCAGGAAGCTAAACATTTGAGCTTTTTATACAACTGTTTTGGATTTTTTCCTTCATTTTCTTGCATTCTGCCTGTGCCTTCTCTTCCTGCTGTGATGGTGACAGTGCTACTGTCTTTCCACCTCACCAGTCATAAGCTGCAACACAACTGCACAAGGACCTGGGGTCCACTCTGCTGATTTTCTCCCCCAAATCAACCTAAATAAGAAAATCAGCACTAAATGCCATAAGTGCTTGGTTTGTGTCATTAAAGCCCTGGAAGACCTAGAGGAATTACATGAAAAACCTGAAGCAAAATCAGTGGCCAAAACATGTATCAGGACAGTGAAGGGCAGCAGTGCCTTGGCAGGCTTGGTGAGTTTAAATCATTTTGGTTGGAGAACACCTTTAGGATCACCAAGTCCAATGTGGTAGAACACAGTGGTGGATCTCGGTGAGTTGGGTTTTTTCCAGCTGTACTGGACTAATGACATCAGAGTCCCTCTGTAGCCCTCGACAGGTCCCAGAGGTGCAATTGCCTCCCAGTGCTGGGAGCTCCAGGAGGGCAGTGAGGACAGGACACCCCTGTCTAGGCAGGCCAGCCTCCAGCCTGAGGGGTAAAATGGCTCCTTCAAGAAAGATGGGCTGAAACAAGATGTTTGCATTCCTAGTACTCATAAAGTTTTGTTCTTTTACACTTCAATTCTTAGTTTTGATGCCTTTTTCTTGAGAAATTATCTATTAGAGTAAGTTCCTTTTTGGGGAAAAAAACCCTATTATTTTGCTGATCTTTTGAAGACTAAGAAACCTCATATTTGGACTCAACTGATACCTGGTGAAGGTAACTTGAGGAAAGGTTTAGGAATGTTTAAGTAAAACCCACAAGTTCTGCTGATGTGCAGTTTTAAAATAGCACTTGTGAGGACTAGGATGTCCTTCCCACCAAAAACCTGATGCAGAGCTACCCACAAGAGTTACCCTGCCCTTGGGCTTTTATGGCACGATGGATTTTCACAGACAGAAGCCCAACTCCTGAAAAGAACTGAATCAACAGAGATTTTCTGCTGTCTAGTTTCCACTGGCATGCAGTCAGGAGCAGATCAACAGTCAACATCTTCCCAAGAGCTCCAGTACAAACAGGCCTGCCTTCTTGCTCCTTTTTCCTCCCCCTTTTTTTTTTTCCTTTTTTTCCCCTTTGTCCTCTTCTGACACATCCCTGGGGTGCATATGATGGAACAGTATCTAAATAAAAGCCAGATTTTTTTTACAAACATGGGAGTCTGTCCTTCCTGTCAGTGCTGAGGAGCTGGTTGTGGTTGCACAGACGGCGGCTGCGCGTGCAGGGAGGGCAGGAGAGAACTTGCTGGGAAGTCACTTAGGGAGCAGCTCTGAGAGGTGTGTGTCCTTGGAAGGAGCTTTCAGCCCCCACAGAGGGGGCTGAGGGAAGGGGAGCAGAGCTGTGGGGTCAGGGCTGGGCACGGCAGCAGGCCCAGGAGGGGATGTCACCGTGTGGGAGCTGCTGAACACCAGGAGATAAACTGAACCCTGTGTCCTCTGATGAGATAGAGAACATGGCATGGCCTGCATGTGCTGCTGCTGGGTCTGCAGCCTGGCTCCAGCCTCCCTTGGCCTGGCAGAAGCCCACAGCACCCCAAAGCCTGCCCCAGGCCCCTGCAGCACCCCAAAGCCTGCTCCAGGCCCCACACAGCACCCCAAAACCTGTCTCTGTGCCCTTCCCAGCTCAGCTTCTCTTACCCATAGCACCCCAAGGACCTGCTCTAGGTACCTGCAGCACCCCAAAACCTGTCTGCGTGGCTCCACAGCACCCCAACCCGTGCTCCAGCCCCCCCCAGCACCCCAAAGCCCTGCTCAGGACTCTCGGTGCTGCTCCTTTCCCTCAGAACACCCCAAAGAGCTGTTCCCAGGCGCCCCAAACCCCTGCCCCTCACACCCTGTC